AAAAAAAATAAATAATTAAATGGAAAATTCCAGAACTAAACAATTCATAAGTTTTAAATTGTGTGCCATTCTGAGTAGCATGGTGAAAACTTGCTATGTCTTCTATCTGCCCAGGACATGAATCATCCTTTTGTCCAGCGTATCCACGCCGCATACACTACCTGCCCACTAGCCACTCAGAAGCCATCTTGGTTATCAGATCCCCTGTATAGTGGTATCGCAGTGCTTGCGTTCAAGTCACCCTTATTTGACTTCATAATGGCCCCAAAGAGCAAGAGTAATGATCCTGGCAATTCAGATACGCCAAAGAAAAGCTGCAAACTGCTTTCTTTAAGTGAAAAAGTGAAACTTCTCTATTTAAACAAAATCATAAGCTGAGGTTGCTAAGATTTATGATAAGAATGAATCTTCTATCCACGAAATGGTGAAGAGGGAGAAAGACATTCGTGCATAGTACATATAGGGTTCAGAACTATCCATGGTTTCAGGCGTCCAGTGAGGATCTTAGAACGTATCCTCCTCAGATAAGGGGGAACTATTGTTCGATAAACTAGAAGAGAAAATGATATCAGAGTGCATAACATGAAGTAAGGGAAGGCAGTGTTCCAGGTGTGTGTGTATGCATTTGTTGAGTTGCAAGGTAAAATGTACTTCTCACTGGGATCATAGGCGAAGTTTGAAAAACTATGCAATTTGGCTTCATTACCAGTCAAGTAAAAATGGAAAAAAAGGAAAAGGGAGTACCACATAAGAATGGCAACCAGAGCCAACCAACATTCTCCACCCATTCCCTAAAGGTCAAAAGAGGCTGTGTGGCCGGGTGCGGTGGCTCACGCCTATAATCGAAGTTCAGGGACGGATGGTGGTGATGGTTGCATACAGTATGAATGTACTTAATGCCACTAAACTATATACTTAAAAATGGTTACGATCGGCCGGGCGTGGTGGCTCATGCCTGTAATCCTAGCCCTCTGGGAGGCCGAGGCGGGTGGATCGTTTGAGCTCAGGAGTTGGAGACCAGCCTGAGCAAGAGCGAGACCCCGTCTCTACTGAAAATGGAAAGAAATTGGCTGGACAACTAAAAATATATAGAAA